CTCACTGCAAGGATTTTACCTTTCTTTGTTATTCTAATCTCTGGTAATCTTTTAAACTGCAAGAGGGAAAGGAAATGGGATGGGAAAAAGAATTGAGATGTGTTATGTACATGCACAGCCTCACACAGGGGACGTGAACATTATGCACTACACATACATACTAAAGAAAGAGATGTTAAAAATGCAAAAAAATAGTTATTAATCATGATACAGAGGTATATGACAAAGTGGCATCTTGATCAAAAATGAGGAATAGTTATTTCATTAGAGAAGTCTGACATCTCATTCTCCTTCATTGCAGCTGACAGCTGCTCTTTGACATAGAATCAGCAGTTGAGAGACTTCTTTCAGCATTGTATTTCCTTGGCGATGTCCTACTCTATCTGCTTGATTGTCTTTGATTAAAACTATTTACAGAGCTCTGGATCTTGCATCTCATTCTTTATTGATCATTGCAGAATTAGATGCAATTGAGAGCTCCTAGTCCTTTCATTAGTATTTCATGCTCAAAATAGCCTATTAGCCAACACTCCTTTTACCTATTCCTTCAAGTTCTCATTGATATGGTTATTGTCTCACCCATTATTTAATTGTAGGCAGGGTAGAGTTTAATGATCTTTGAGTGAGCTTCCACATAGAATAGCAGAATAGCAGACAAGTCTTTGAGCTCACCCTAACCTGTTTTGACCTTCCTGGATCGCGTGACAGTCATTCTTAGTATGGACGACCAGCTTAGCAACTGCCTGACTCCTCGCAATGGCATGCAGCCCTGCAGTGGCCCTCCAGTCAGGGCCTCTGTGAGGGCCAGCCCACCTGCCCCTCCTGCTTACTGGTGACAAAAGCCCCAAGGTGCTATGTATTTTATTAAGTAGATGAGCTTTTAAAAAGGCAGTGTCTTAGGCTTGTCTGTTGCTTTAGAATTGGAAAATGCTTTTAAATACATTGTGCAGTTTGAGCTTTGCAACTGCTATATGAAATGAGCAAAACAGATTTGTGAGTAACAGGACATGAAGTTGAGGCAGTCCTACTTTTTTCTCTGTTTATAGAGAAAAACAGAGGGAGAAGACAGAGTGGTTAATATGAAGAAGAGGCCATGGTTTCAGCGCTTTAGGGCAGACAGTGAAGAAATGGCGGAAAAGCTGTGATTAGTGGAGGGGGTTAGGGTTAGGGTTAGGAGAGCTCCTGCTCTTGCCTCTTTCTCCTGTTTGGTTCAGTAGTCCCTCACATTCTGTTCTCCCATGATCCTACCCTGTCTCCCCAAAATGTTTTTAAACTTTTTTTAAAATCTTGTTAATCTTCTGTTCTATGGGTAAATCCAAACTAAGAATTTCAGTTCAACTAAGAATGAACAGGAGAAAAACATTATTTTTCTTCCCTTACAATTCATAGTTTAGGAAAAAATTGGGCAGATCAAAGAATGTGAGATGATGAAGCTTAGCCAGAGTGAGAAAGCAGAAGTGCTAGAAAACAGGACATTATTGTCAGAGGCTCAGCGTCTGAGATCCGACTTACAGTTCAAGACAGTGATGTGCGGGGAGCTGATGTGGAAAGGACACAGGACAGTGGGTGGAGTGCTAGATGGACTCGGGGTTTGGGCTGGTAGGCATGCACTCTTGTACCTAATGTGTGAGGAGAGGAAAAGGTAGTTGGTTTAAAGTGTCCAGGAATATAAAAATAAGGTTTCTGAACATTGAAATGTGGTTTGAAAATCACAGGCTGGATTGGTTTGGACACCTCTGTGTCACCTGTTGGCCTGCTGGGGTCTGGGGCATGGTGCATTTGAGTCAGCACAGTAGGGCAGCCTGGGATGCAGCCAAAAGGAGACAAGCTGGGCAAAGTGCTGAAGAGCTCATGGACTTTGTTTTCCATGACATGGATATGTCTAGAAAGTTCAGGAATACGGCAGTTTGGTCAGAAGTGAAACCAAATGAAATAGGGACAGGAGAAGCTCAGGGACTGGAAGAGCTTGCATCTGAGTGGGAGCCAACAGTGACCTGGGGGCAAGGCCTGAGGGCATCAAGTTTCCCAGGGGACTTCGCAATAAAGTAGTCTGTGTTGGATGCCAGCTGAGGATTGCTGCTGAGACTTTGAAACAGTAATCTTGATAATGAATTGTGGTGGAAGAGTTTTCTGTTTGCCCAACACTAGGTTAAACAGTGGATCATGTCATCTGATCTTTAGACCCACCCAAGACATCCTCATTTAAATTTTAAAGAGGAGGAAATGGATTTTGGAGAGATTTTGTGAATGGCCTATTGTCATTACCCTGCTAACTTTTGTTGTTGAGATTGAAGCCTAGGCAGATGAATCAGAACCCTCTGCACATCCCTGTACATCCCTCAGGTTTTAGATGGAGGCAGCTGGATGACTTCTTAGAGTCCAGCCTGAATGTGGAACCAGCATTTCCTGTCACTGGTGGATGACTCAGGCTGTTTGGCGGAACACTCAGGTTTCACATCAGGCATTGTGTGTGACAACAGCTGGCTTTCACAGCACTTCTCTTGCTTTTCTTTTTTGTTTTGGCTAATGCAAAGTCTGATACACTCAGATAAATAATGACCACTCTTGAGAGACTGTTTTTAGAAATTCCTTATATTGTCTTGCAAGATTGATGTTTAATTAATGGGGAATAGCAGGAGAAGCTGAAAATGTGTTAGTCTTTGATATGTTAAATTTGTTTGCTAATATCTTAAATACACTTTAAAATGATAGTTGTTTTTAAATAGTATATGTACGTGATCATCTGAAACAGTGTGATAGCAATCTGCAATTCACCTGTGGATACTTAATAAGAATAAATTGTGTACTCTTGGTTGCTGTAGAACCATTTTCAGATCTCTAACAGTCTTCCTCGGGTAGAATCCTGTGTAGTACCCAAACTGGCTCCTGTGGTTGAGATTTATTCACTTTCCTAGTTAATGAGTGAAAACTTTTGTAAGTGGACTGGACTGGAATCTACCTGAATCAGCAAAAAGTAACCCCTCCCCCATCTCATGTTTTAATAACTGTAAATGCCACCCTCCCAGCTCCTGCATCCTGAGGACTCCCAGAAGCAGTTGATGTCCTCAGCTCATAGGTACCCGTGATGAAATTATACCTAGAGACCCAACTTCTTATACACTACTTCCTAGATTTGTTTCTCTGAACTAATAATTTTGATTAGTTTGAGGTATCAGTTTTAAAACAAATATTTATTCCTTTCTATGTGAAGAGTAGGGAGAAGAATAAAGACAAGATTTTGCTTCTTTCCTCATCAGAAGAGTAGTGCCAACTATGGCAAACAGGCACGCGTGTTTTCTATGTGCCAGCTATGACACTGTGCTGATGCGGAATTCTCACACACTGAAGCTTACCGTCCTCACCATTTTACAAGCCAGGGAACAGTCTTAAAGCAATTGAATGATTTGGACGAGTAAGCAGTGGCAGTGTAAATGCGTGGGCCATGCCAGAAAGGATCACCGGCATAATTTTAGACCAGGTTTTATTCTTGGAGGAGGAGCAGAAAATAGTGGGTTTTTTTTCTACACTAAAACAAGAGAAATTCCTCCTGTGTTCTGTATAGTGGATTCACGTACTAATTCTTTTTGGTCCTGTGGAAGTCAGCATGAATTCCTAGGAATGATGAGTAAAATCGAGAGACTGCTTTGCTTTCCTGTCGTGGCCATTTGTGAAAGCAAGTGTCTTGGGTCGTGCCACGCAGAGCTCAGTGGGGCAGAGCCTGGCTGTGCCTCGATGCGCTCTGGAGAAAGGGCAAGTAAGGGCCACCACGGTGTCCTGTTGGTGGTGCTGGCCTGGCTGCCTGGCCTGCCAAGGGCCTTGTCTGCCACAGGCTTTGTGCCTCAGGTCCTGGGTTGGCTGTGGCCTGGCTCTGTTGGCAGCTGGGGGGAATAAAAGGCTTTCTGTTTGAGCTCCCCATTGCCCACACGGAAAAAGCTTTCCCTTAGTCTGGAGTTTATTCTCCACTTTGAGCGGCTTGACCCATATCAGTCTTGAGTTCTGTGTTGTGTTCATAGTGTTTTAGTAAGAATTAAGCCCACAAAGAACTTTAAACATTATCTGCATCAGCCTCTGCCTCCTCATTTTATAGATGAGGAGGTTCACATACATATGTGGAATGAATTATGCAAATACGTGGCACCTGTGGCCTGGATGAGACGCATATCTCAGGACTGGTCTAAGGATGTCATTCCTGCTACAGGATGCAGTGTAGCTCTCTCTGGTTTGCTTCCACTCTCTTGCCTGTCCTGATCCTGGCTCACCTCCTGCCTTGCCTCCTGCCTCCTTGATCCCTAGACTTTGCATCTTGCTCTGACTTGGGAGCAGTTGTTTGTTGGTGTTAATCCTGGATTTGGAATTACTGTGTAAAGTTGTTGTGGACCTTCCTATAATTCTCAGTGGTCAAGTAGGACCTTTGTCAAAGAGATGCTCTTAGCAAAGTACAAATCATGGAAGCTAGTGGCTTATTATTCTGTGCAAAAACTTTTAAAAACAGTGAATACAAAGTATAGATAAAAATCAGCTGGTAAAGGCTACCTGTTGAACGGACTGAGCCAGACTCAAGAAAATTAAAGACTTTCAACCAAATTATTAAAGAGATTCACAGGAGAAGGTGCTGTTTGTTTATTCTTTACACAGAATACCTGCTTGATCAAATTAGCTCTGCAGGTGGTAGTAAGAGTAATTTTTTTCCCCTAACTTCTAATCCTTTGGATTTGGAGAAAAAATTTACTTGAGTTGTTTTAGCAGATCTGATTAACAAAGAGGAATGCAGTGTTTTTCAGTGCTGGGAAGTTTTGGCATAGTAAAAAAGTAAAATTAGATACACATAAGTTACAGTCATCTTTATTGATCTGTTAAATTCAGTATGACTGTGTGTGAAAGGGGTAAAGTATTTTAGCTAATAATTGAGGATTAATTAAAGCTGATGAAGTGCTTGGCACATAACAGGCTTTATGAGCATTCTCTTCCTTCGTAACGGTTTACCCTTTCTGTTGGTTTAGATATCTGACATCCACGTCACTGGAGAGTCAGAAGACATGTCTGCAAAAGAGAGACTGCTACTGTGGACACAGCAGGCCACTGAGGGCTATGCTGGAGTGCGGTGTGAGAACTTCACTACCTGCTGGAGAGATGGAAAACTCTTTAACGCCATCATCCATAAATACAGGTACACAATTTGTGAGTTGTTTCCCTTTATACAAATGCAAGCTGTTTCTTTCATTTCTAAATTTTAAAATAACCCGTTTCTGGTATGGAAGCATTATGTGTGCTTGGTGGAGAATTAGAAGATACAAATAAAATACAGATGTTGCCACTGCTGAGGGATTATCACTGCAGAGATCAGTGCATGTGCATACCTGCATGGTGTGCACACAAACACACACGTGCACACACACACACTCTCATAGCTGTAACAAGTCTTTGGATTTTGCCAGTGAAATCACATAGTAAGCGCTCATATGCAATACCTGTAGGAAGATGATGTGGACAGCAGCTGACAAGTTTCCAAATCATGTTACCTGGTCAGGTTACTGTAGTGCATAGCTGGGCTTAAGAATGACCAATTTGGGAGTAGTGAACAGTTTTCTGGTGAGAATTAACAGCTAAATCCAGTGTGTGTGTGTGTGTGTGTGTGTGTGTGTGTATAATGTCTTCTAAAGATTTTAGAAATACTGATTTGACATAACAGTAATGGCCTCCTTTAGATTTTTTATTAATGTAAATTATACTGTTGGTAGTTACTAGTCAAGTACATTAATTTGGATTGTCTACTACATTGTTATTAGAACTGTTACATAAACTATAACTTGAAAATTGTTAATATCAGGAAGCAGTATTTTAATAGCAATTCAATGTCATAAAATTTTCCATAGAAAACAGATTTTTCTCTTTAAAGAACTATTATAAGAAATAAAAATAACAAGTCTATATAATAAGTAATTCATAGCTATCATGGAATTAAAATGACCAGTGTGGTAAAAAGAAAGTAACTGTTTCAAGGTGAGTGCCCAGGAGACCATGCAGAATATTGGCTGTACAGATGTTTCTGCCCCAGCTTTGCTTTGTTTCATTTTACTTTATTTATTTTGAGACAGAGTTTGGCTATGTAGTTTGGGCTGACCTTGAACTCACTTTGTAGCCCAGGCTGGCCTCAAACTCGACACAATCCTCCTACCTCAGTGCTGGGATTACAGGTGTGCAGAATCATACCCAGCATGTCCCAGCTTTTGAAAATGCGTGTTGACTTTTAAAATTACCTCAGTCTTCTGAAATACTAGATTGAATCTCCATTTTTATTAATAAGGAAACTGAAGCTCAGAAGGTTGCTAATCTGCCTTTAAAGTAATGGAGGCAACTGCTTTGGATCCTCAGAACTTCTTGCCCTTTCCTGTGGTCAACCTTAGATAATTTCCTTAGGCAGGTTCAATTTTAAGAAATAGAACAATTTGATGTAGGGGAGATAAATATTAACTCCCAACCAGCTGATGTCAGATACACCAAGTTTGTGTTCCCCAAAACCGAAGAATGGATCCCAAGGAATAACACAGGTTAAGAATAGGAAAATGTTATTGAGAGAAACAGCTTTGGAGAGATAGGGGTACAAGAAGGTGGTTTGCCAATGAGCCTACTTTTTAAAAGAAGTGTTACAGAGCAAAATCACAAAGTGGATCAAAATTATGATCAACCAATAAGATTACAAGATTGCAATTATGTAATATTGATCCAATGGGGAAGCCATTCACACAGCTCGTATACATGGAAAGAAAAAGACCTTTTTAGGAAAAGATGGATCAGCAGGTCCTGGTTACCCACCAGAGTGACTAATGTCTGGATTGGACCAGGTGATACCACTTATATTATTACTTGGGGAAGCATGTAGGCCTGGTCATTCTCTATCTTGAAACTTGTCCTTTAACAGATGCACCTCTAGCCACAGTTGTAATGTGTTCTTGTCTTCCTTATTGACTCTGTTGAGGGCTTAGTCCTATTTGACTGTCTATAATATTTTTCCAACTTACCTATCTGTATGTTTTTTGTGGTTGGGTTTTGTTTTTTTGGTACCAGGGATTGAACTCATGACCTTGCCCTTGCCAGGCAGGTGCTTATACTGCTGAGCTAAACCCCCAGCCTTTACCTATCTGTAATAAGTTGACCAGAAGAATTATAATAGTGTTACCTTGAAGACTTATGGGATTTTGTAAAGCTACGTGAAAATTATTGATGAATGTAAGAAAGAATTAAACAGTTATCCAATAACAACTGAAGTCTTTGTTCCTTGTTAAAAATTTACAAGAAACATTAGTTGTTTAGCTTAGTGTTAATAACAAAAATAGTAGCATCAGCAGCAATTTGTAATACAATGAGGAAAACTGTAGATGATAAAAGAAAATATAAGTATGTACTCTAACAGCAGAATCGCGAACGACCTTTCTTATAGTTCAGTGTGTCATGTTATCCTAAAGAGATGAAGAGCTTGGGTTAAGGCATGGGTGATGGGAGTGGAAAAGTAATTGGTTTCATGGAAGAGGCTGTAAGGAACAGTTCTGAAGCTTCTGTTATACATTGAATCTGTGTTGGGAAGTTTTGTTCGTCATTCCTTCTAGGAGCTTTTATTTGTTATGTTCAACTTTCAATGGAAAGAGTTTACATGATAAAAACCCACATGCCTGTACTAGTTTCCATTTGTTTTGTTCTTGTAGCTTGAATGTTCCTTAATGCATTATAAAATATTTTCATGGAAAACCACACCTGGTAAGGAATTTTAGTAAGTAAGCTTCAGTGCCACCTGTAACTTTAGCTATCATTCAGAAGAGCAGCAAGGAAGACTGGATTTGAAGTACTGTGTTTAGATGCAAGTATGCCACAAAAGTTTTTGCTGAGTAAGTAGCTTAAAAGCAGGAAAGGATGAAGTAGAATTTACAGAGAACCAACAGTTAGGGGCTTTGGGCTTTGAGCAGTAGGGATGCCAGTAAGTCCCCAGGACTTAGGATAGGCATAGAGGTGTACAGACTGTGAGTGTGCCTATGTTCCTCAGAGGTAGGGAGTGTAAGCAGGGGCCGCTATGTGCTCAGGTGTCACAGGAAGACAGGTTTGCTGCCTGCTGAGAGGGAGAAAGCTCTGCCTGCCAGTTCAAATTTCAGCCCGGAATTAGCTGACTTCTGTCAGTGTCTCAAGGTGGTTATTTGTCCTGAACTTTGGGGAAAGCACAGCTCCAGTGCAGCAGGCTGTTTAGAGGAAGGACATGTCTGTTTGAACAGGCTCAAGTATGAATGTGTTCTCACAGGCTGGAAAGAACAGCTCATTGTGTGTGCCAGAGGCGTGATGTGGAAGTGTATTTCATGTGTCATGTGTGTGTCATGGCAGCAACACTAGGGGGCACGTGTCTTTGACTATTTCTGTTTGCTCTCTGCAGCTGTCTGCCGTATTGTTTTTAATCTACCCCATTCTTTTGTGTGGTTCTCCTGGGCCCCAGGCATTGTTTTCATAGTCATGTTTAAAAAACGTTACTCGGGGAAGACTGGATATCTTGGGAGCAGCTTGTGTACAAGAATAACACTTAAGTATTTTCTAATTAAACATTATGTAATTGAGTAGCAATTAGTTTATTGTTTTCATTTTGAATTAGAAATTAACAGGGTCATCATATTTATTGTATTAAATGTTTAAGGATGTTTTAATTGGGAAACTTAGACTACTAAGGCTGTGGTCAGAGTCATTTTAATAATCTGACTTGGAGACTAATGGCTGACTCACAGACTTGGATGGGTCCACCTTGGAAACTGGCTGGAACAGGCTTAGTACTGGGAGGAGGCCCTGCAGGGTATGAAGTGTTCTGCCAGGAAGTCAGGTTTGCCTTGACTGGGAGGTTCTTTTCCTTCAGTCCTCAGGCTGCAGGGTGCACATGTACAAGGGTGTGCAAATTGTATGTATGTTTTCCTCTTCACTTTCCTTTCTTCAGACTTCTTTTCATAAGAGCAGCCAGCATGTGACCCTTACTTTTCTATGGGCCATCTATTCATTTTGGCGCTTGCTGTGACTCATTTATATAAGTTCCTAGTTCTCATCATTCTGTGATATGAAGTACTTTAAGACGTTATCTTCTATGAGAATAGAAGTAAATTGATCACTATGCCTGTTTTGGGGAAGTGATGTTTATCCTTTAGCTATGAAGATTTACATAAAGTTTACTCTTAGCCACTTCATTAGAACACAGCTACTTGAAGAGTTACTTCTCATTTAAGTCAGTACTGTATTCTGTAAAGTCTAGGAGGAGATAGGGTGGTTGTTCTTTGTGTATTGAAAGTCTTAATTCTTTAAGGATCTTTTAATTATCAGAGTTGTTAGATTCCAGTCTTGAAGTACCAACAAAGCTTGCTATGAATTAGTAGTGTTCTCATCTTTGCTCTCTGCCTTGATAATAGTCACATTGTAGGCAAGGTCAAAAAAGGAGGACTGCTCGAAATAAAATCAGACATCTGGTTGGGAGAACAAAGGAAAATTATTTTAATAGCTCATTGCCAGGCATTCTTGGCTTTGTTTCTTTCAGCAGTATGTTCCCAAATATGAGCAAAGAGGAATGTCCACACCTTGTTTTGCAGTTGCTTGTGGCACTTCTGAATGCCTAAAGTTATTTGCTGGAGGGTGGGGAGGAGACCATTTTGCAGACCTTATTTTGGAGCAGTGATGGAAGGAGATGAGATGGCTGTACCAATAAGAAGAGCAAGAGTATGCTAGGCCTGGACATGTTGTGGTTGCAATAGTCATCTTCAGGAACTGCTTGTGGTAACTGCTGCTCTGTCACAGGAGTGAGGCGTGTGGAGCTTACTAATGGTCTGTTGAAGGCTTGATGTTCTCTGTGCCTGTGTGTGAGTTGTGTTCTGGAATACAGTGGTGGTTTTAAGACCATCCTCTGGGTAATTGGAATGTGATTTTCTTTGTTTTCCTTTAAACTTGCATAGAATCCCTTTTCCTGTTTCTTGCAAACTTTCCTAGCAAAACCTGAGCCTGTGTGAGCCCCGCTACCTGCCTTGTCCGCGTGTGAAGTGTGCTAACATGGGCATACCTCAAGGTTAGGTACACTAGAAGTTCAACAGCAACTGCTGTCTGACCACAGGCTTCTCACAGTCCTGCCCACAGCCCTTTGCTCTCTCACATTGCTTTTCCTCC